GACAGTCAGGGTTCAGTGGGGAAAGCTGGTATCGAGCTGGTCTTCGATTGCAGGCCCTTGGCTCTGGTAGAGGGATGTGACATGTGCCAGCGCCTGTGCCAATGTCCCCCTCCCCTCCCCCCGCTTCTGAGGCTGGTGCTCCCTTATATAGGAAGTTCCAGGGACAACCTGGACCACTGCCTGCCCCCACATGTCTTGCAGCTGCCACCAGGTGCTGACAGCCCCAGGCAGTGCCTGTGGTGCCAGCAACTTGCCCTCTTCTTGGGCTGGGCCCCAGGCCCATGTGGAGCCAAGCTTCTGGCTCTCACTCTAGCCAAGGGAATGGGTCCATGGAGAGCATGCGGTCTGTCAGCTGCCCATCCCACCCCAGAAGCAGGGGTGCAGAGGTGTGTGCTACTAGCCCTGCTCTTCTTCAGGGCCGACCAGGAGTATGCCACCTATGGAGCACTCCAGAGGTCATCACCCCAATAAGTGCGGGGCTCTGTTGGGTCCTTGCTAGAGTGGCCTAGTCCCAAGAACATAAGGGAGGGTTTCCTGTCGGGGGGAGTATGCTAATGTATTGCCTCTCTCTCTATCCAGCCACCAAATCCTAACATTTGTGATACTGGGACTCAATTGAAGGTGAGTCATGGAAATGTTCAAAGGCTGAAAAAGGGAATTTCTGGGATGTGTGGGAAGAGTATACATGGGGATTCCTGTCACCAAAGGATTCAATGGCAAAATTATTGGGATTATTAAATAGGAAAACATTACCTAAGCATGGAAATGAAAAGAATCATGCAGAGTTGCCACGAAAATACCATATTTTTCGGCCAAGAAAATACCATATTTTTCTCACATACACCATGCCCTGGAATAAGATATACAATCTGTTTTCTGAAAAGCAGAATGAAGGGAAAATTCTACGCATCCCTTGCTGATGCCAAGCCTGGATAAAGAAGGAGGGTTAGTGTAAGGAGGGGCATCCAGCTGTAAAAACCTTTTCCAAATCATCATGATGTGGATCCAAGGAACAAACCGAGCTAGGCAACATGCAGGATCAGCACCCAGATTCTGTGGGAAATGGGCAAGGACTTGTCCAAGGATGGGTGCAGGCAAAGAAGCTAGTCCAAAGAAAAGATCTGAGAATTGTGATACTTAGTGTGAGAAGTTTGACCAGTAGAAGTGGAGGTGGTAGACTTTTGGAAAGAAGGAAAGTACGTATTGTGTATGTGCAGAAAACAAAGTAAAAAGGAAATAAAGCAAGAGATTGGAGGATTTAAGCTCCTGTAGAGGTGGAGACAGAAGAAGAAATGGAGTCAGGCTTATCCTGTGCAAAGAACTGAAGAACAAAGTTTCAGAAGTTGAAAGGAATAACAGGGTCATGAGATTGAAAGTGGACACTGGTGGCCAATTAATGAGCGTGATGAGCATGTATGCCCCACAAATAGGCAATCCAGTAGAGGAGAAGGAGAACTTCTGGGAAAAGGTGAATGAGGTGATGCAACGGGTGCCAGACAGTGAAGTAGTCATTGTAGGGAGAGACCTCAATGGACATGTTGGGTGAAGTCGATATGCCTACAAGAGGATCCATGGAGGACATAGATTTGGAGATCTCAATCCCGAGGAGAAAAGAATAGTAGATTTTGTGGTATCTTATGATCTCACAATTTCAAATACATCCTTCTGAAAACAAGAAGAACATCTGACCATTTACAAAAGTGGAAGTAGAGAAACTCCAGTAGATTATTTGCTCAGGTGAGGAAACGGGATTGAAAAGAGGTGAAAGACTGTAAGGTGATCCCAGGAAAGGAAGTTACCTTGCAATATAGAATGGTAGACATGGACACAAGGGTGAAAGGAGTAAGGCATACTAAATATCAAGGAAGTCATAAAATTAAGTGGTAAAAGCTGAGGCAGGGCAATGAAAGACGAGAGGCCTTCAGAGCAAGTGTTGAAAGAAACACAGGTTGAAGAAATATAAGACCCTGACAGTTGGTGGCAAGATCAGAAAACAGGAAAAGAAATCTGCAGTGTCATCTGGAACAATGCCCATCAGGAAGGAAACGTAGTAGAGGAATGAGGAGGTCCAGGAAGCAGTAAAGGAGAAAAGGGTAAAATGTAAGAAATGGAAAGATACAGGGGACCCTTTGGATTTTGAAGCATACAAACTGGAGAGGAAGAGGGCACAGAGGATCATTGCCAAGGCCAAAAACACTGCAATGGATGATTTGTACCAAAGGCTAAAAACAAAAGAGGGACACAAGAAAGTGTACGTAAGTGCTAAAAGAAGAGAGAAATTAACAAAGGATGTGATGCATGTGAGAATGATCAAAGATGAATCTTGGAGACTTGATGAATAAAGAAGAGATTAAGAATAGGTGGAGAAACTATTCTGAAGATCTGATAAACAAGAGGAACCCAAGAAGGTCGCAAAGCAAGTGCCACAGAAAACCAAGGCATGGTGACTGACATCAGCAGAATGAAAGTGAAAAGAGCATTGAACAAAATGAAGAATGGGAAAGCAACAGGACCTGATGATATAGCAGTGGGAGTTTGGACAGTCTTGAGGGAAGAAGGAATCAATATACTGTGGAAACTGTTTAAAGTGATATTTTCAATGGAGAAGATGCCAAATGAATGGAGAGAGAGTGTGTTGGTGCCAGTATTCATGTGATGCCCAGGTTTGTGGCAACTATCAGGGAGTCAAATTGATGCCTCACATTGTGCAAGCATGGGAACGAGTGGTGGAGAATTGGTTAAGGACTGAGGTAGTCATTGGAGAAGGCCAGTGTGGATTTGGTTTTTGCCATAAACCAGATGATAGAGAAATACAGGGAAGGTTGTAAAGATATCCATGTTGTTTTTATTGACCTGGAGAAAACCTATAATCATGTACCAGGGAGGAAATATGGGAATGCCTGAGAGTTAAGGAGGTGCTGGAGAAATGTGTCAGAACCATCAAGGACATATATGGAAATGTACAATGAAAGGGAAGAGCAGTTCAGGAGAGACAAAGAGTTTTGAGGTGAAGGTGGATGTACACCAAGGGTCAGCTTTAAGCCCGTTCCTGTTTGCGGTCATGATGGATGTATTTACTGAACAAGTAAGGAGACCACCCTTAAATTTGATGTTTGCAGACGTGGTCATTTGCGCTTAGAGTCTAGAGGAAGTTCAAGCTGGATTGGACCAATGGAGAAAAGTGCTAGAGGGAAAAAGAATGAAGATTAGTCAATCCAAAACGGAATATATGTACTGTGATTTGTCTGGGGTACCTGATGTTGTCAATGTGATAATTGATGAGAAACATGTTCAAAGAGTTGAGAAGTTCCAGTATCTGGGGTCAACTGTTCAGCAGAATGCAGTTAGATAAGGAGCTGAACCATCAAATAATAGCAGGATGGACGAACTGGAAATTGGCGGTAGGAATATTATGCAACAGGAGAGTATCAGTAAAACTGAAGGGGAAAGTCTACAAGACATGTGTGTCCAGTGCTGTTGTATGGAGTGGAGACACGACCCCTGAAGAAAACTCAAGAAAGGAGACTGAACGTGATAGAGATGAGAATGCTCCAATGGATGTGTGGAGTGATAAAGATGGATAAAGTGAGGAATACTTACATCAGAAGAGCAGTGAAGGTAGTGGAGGCATCTAAGAAAGTACGAGAAAGAAGACCGGCATGGTATGGGCCTGTTCAAAGGAGTCTGGAAGAATACGTGGGAACAGGAGTTACCAGAACAGCACTAACAGGAAGAAGGGGAAGAGGAAGACTGAAGACAGAGACAGCACAGGGGACTTGAGAGAAGAAGAGTTGGAAGAAGATATGTATGACAGAAGCCGGTGGAGAGCCAGGATCTTCAACAGCAACCCTGCTTAGGCAAAACAAGTGATGGCAGAAGAAGAAGAAAAATGAAGGGGAAATAAAGATCTTTCCTCTACAACTGAGTAGCAATTACTATAGAGCTGGGCCAGCTCATTGTTCTGCTCCTTATGTATCAGTGCAGGCTTTACTTTTGCTTGTCAGCAGAAACTGCTCTTCCAGTATTTCTCACAATATGCACACCCGAGTTTCCACTAGCTGTTTTTTTTGGAAACATGGGCATGTTGCATGTGAGAAAACAAGGCAATGGATGAACAACTAAGTAATGTCACATGACTACATTAAGGTTTCATCATCATTTTCTTCCTGTGATTTTAATTCCTTGGAAACATCAGAGATAAGAGACCAGTCCCAAGGACCTAGGGGGAACTAAACCATGGCTCCCCCTGCGAGGAAGCTCTAGGTGGGCTTTGCATTAGAGGAAAGGCAGAAATGCAGCCAAGGGCAGCCCCTGCGCCGCAAAGCCCCTTCCCCGCGAGGCCAGTCTGTGGCCAGCAGGGCCCAGCTCAAGGCTGGTGGCCCGATGCTTTCAGGCGAGTCCCAAGCCTCTGGAGGCTGCTGAGGTGCGAGGCGATGAGGTGTGAGGAGACAGGCGGGGAAGGGCAGGCCCAGCTTGGCCCCGCCGGGCCAGGCCGGGCCCCTCTGCCCACAGGAGGCAAAACCGGCCGGCAGCGCCGAGCAGGCGCAGGCCCCAGATGCGCCGCTCCCCGGAGTCTGTAGCCGAATCCCCTCGTCTCGCAGCCGCGGGGCCGCCTGGGGCATCGCCCTGCAACGCACGGG